AGCGCATTGAAAAGGGCTGGGATTTCCCAGATCTGTTCCAGCCATTCTCTTGAGTCACATCTTGAAAGTAAACTGTAACCTGTAACAGCTAAATCTGGTAAGGAGAAACACTTCAAAAGTGCTGTGCCATTAGCTTTGAACATGAGATTTCTTTAATATCCCACACACCATTTATATCGGTCTTTAGCACCATGCTACATTTCTTTGAAGGCATAAACTTTCCTGTCTTTGGACAAATCCCTAAAATAGATTTCTCAGAGCGAATTTAATTCACATAAACATCAATTACAGTTACTCAGGTTACCTGAAGTGTATACTTCTGTATTTCATCCAGAACAAATTCCACTTCTTTTGAGGTTGTTAATGAGGCAAGATTCCCACTTAAATTGTAGCAATAGAGTTTGGCATTGTCATAGTTTTCACGACTAGAATTTATGCGGAGGCAGGCGTCTCCAATGTGACTCCATCCTTCCCCACACAGATGAGCTAGTGTAAAAAGCATACAATTAAAGCTGATTTGAAAAAACTTTTAGAAAACCTAAGGGAGCCTGAATTTTATCTTCCTGAGATAATATAATTCAAAATACCACCCACACTCTATTTCCCTTTTCACATCACATAAATTCTAGAACACTAAGTAGTATTATAATGGGTTTTTTATGAAAAGAAAGTTTTAACAACTTAACATATACCTTATAAATATTTTCTAAGTTTCATTGTAACAATATTATTATGACACTTTTTCCTGTATGCAGATTTGAGAACTCAATATTAAAGATTAGATTATGTGCACAATTACTAGAGCTTTAACCATTCACTTTACCTAAATGTTATGTAAATTTCAAAATTTGAAAAAAACTGTTCTTTGCTTTACCATCCTATCTTTACGTTTATATTTGCCTAATTACAGACATAATCAGAATGACAGGAAATTCTGATAACATCTTAGAAAATACTTCAACATATTTCAGCATTTTTCAGATTCAGCCAACTGTTAAGAGATGAGTAATTCAAAGCAACTGTCATAGTTAATCTTTACAAAGATTACACAGATGCAGTTTTAAACTCGATTAAAGTTATTTAATGAATAATCTCTGAAAAAAAACTGTGTTCATTAACTTCACCTGGACATAAAGATCAAATTGAAAATGTTCTGATATCTGTGTATATGCAGTTATGAATATGAATTACAGAATAAATACTATTTCAGAATGTTAACAGTCACCTTCTGAGAATATTTTATATTATCAATGTAATATCCACTGCTTTCATAGTATTACCAACATTAGACAATCAAGAAACTAGATCTTAGGCCTTATCTGCACAGGAAAATTGAAGCATAATTGAAATATAATTTATAAGATAAAAGCTCAGCTAGTAGAAGTAACAGTGTCAGTGAACAGGAAAGAGTAAAGGACTTGGTATGGCAATTCCGCTCTGCACTCAGTGATCCGCACAGGCTAGAACTCCTCCCTGGCTTGTGCAGAGGTGTGTGCCATTAGGCCTTCACCAATATTATCATCTCTCCTAACAAGATTAAAGGTAGCATTGACATCCCAATCAGGGATGTAATTACATCTGTGTTCACCTTTACAGGCACAGCCAGGCAGGGAGAGTCAGCACAAGTAAAACCAACCCAGGTCTACTCATTGAACAAATATTGGTTGATAATAATGGAGAAGATTTACCCAATTTTAAAAACAATTATAAAAAGCAGCGTTGTCACTCCACAGCCCTTACCAGGTAGTGCCTGGCACTCCTGTTGCCGCTGGTCCCACTGGCAGTTCAGGTGCAGCGAGCAGCTTTTGCAGCTGGTCAGTTTGTTGCAGATCTGTTCGTTCCTCACATGGCATTTGGTGTAGTTTTTAACTGACTATAAAAACAAAACAGACAAAACAGCATCTCAAAGTATGTTAAACTGTCAACAAACCAGAAGTCAAAACTGAAATACACAGCAGATGGATCCCTCCTAGAAATATCTCAGCCACCTAAGAGCTAGGTTGAATTTAAGCTCTTGCTCCCTTGCATCTCTAGAGCACAAATCACCCCACCTGTCCTACACAACTAACTTTGAGTGGGTCAAATAATAATTTGAAGATGCCACTTCTGTCTACAGAGCTCAGGAAGAGCTTAAATAAGTAAATTAAATATTTCTTAGATAGTTCAGGGATACACACACATTAAAATATTTCATCCTCTACAGGTTAAAGTAAGCAAAATAAACAGAATATAAAAAATTATGCAAGATACAATTGTAAAATGATCATCACTGACTGAAGGTGATAGAATATGCTATATTTTGATATCTGGATTAAATGAGACAAAAATAGGAGTCATAGACCAGAAGCTGCAAAACACAATAAGGATTAGTTGAAAATTTCCACCATGTCATTTTACATACTTAACTGCAAAGTTGTATGCAAAATAGCTAGTAAAAAATTTACAGAGTCTACACAAAACCCTTTTTTCAAACAACATAAAACCAGGAATAACACTACTCCTTTGGTACCCTAGTACACAAGAAAATGAGTAAACACTGAAGGAATTTTTATTTGGGTTTTTTTTTGTTGGGTTTGGTTTGTTTCTTGCCCTGGAAATTTTGGTCTTCCTTTCCAAGTTAGGCATTTTGAATACAAATCTTCTTTCCCCTCCCTGTACAGTACTTTTAATTAAGACATAATATTGGTATCTTATGTAATAAACTGCCCAAAATCCTCAGCCAATTCATCAGCTTATCCATAAGAAAACTTGTCTCTCTCTCTAACAAGAGATTCATTCATGCACAATAGCAAAAATGCATTGCAAATAGATAGATTATATATGTATGGTTTACACAACACTTTTGGTTGCTTTTCTTTCTAATATTAGCGTATGAAAAAGCACATATAAGGGGCAACATGACAAGTTACACAGTTGTTGGTACTGCAATGACAATGACGATAGGATGTCAACCTACTGCAGTCAGGAGTTCTGAAATAATGCAATTGTTACGATGAATTTTCAATCTCACACAGGACCAGTTTCATTCTTCATTACTGAAGAATGCTGCTGCTTAGGGACTTGTTTGTTGCCTTTACTGGATCAGATGCCCATCAATAATCTGCTTATAAAAGGTACTCACTATTTTTCAGGTCTATAAGAAAGGCAGCAATAGAGCCAGAAAAACAGTTCGAGGAGAAGGCATCTACATCACAGTACGAAGCAGAGCCAAAGGCAATGCCAGAAAGTAATAGAATGTCTATCTAGGCCAATAAATGCATACCAACAGTAAAGCACAAAAAGCCGTTGGTACATACCCATATTCTGTTTCACTCAGTCAGATGAATGTTCACAAAATTGCATGAGAGATGTTTTAAAATGAATTTTAAAGCACAATAACCACCATCTTTTCATTTACAATACCTTGACTAATACTTTTAACACTTCATGATGGCATACAGTCAAAATCCTTAAGCATTCCGATTGTTTTTGAAAATTATATACTCTTTAGTGATATTACTATATATTACCATCGCAATTTTCCAACTAAGCAAAGATCTTTGTTCTATTACTTTCTAATCATGAAGCTTGTTGTGCTCTGGTTATTTAATGTTTAAAATAAAATTCAACATACTAGTGACTATTCTGTAATAACGTTTTCTGTTGTATTCCCTTATTCCCAGCACTTATTTCCCTTAAATCCAATTTAAACATTGCTTTCCTGAAAATCTCATTAGTTCAATGTAGATGTGAATCCAATAGGTAATTCATATTAACACAATATTAAGGTTATAACTTAAGCTACCGATCCCAATGAAATTCAGAAATATGACCGGCCACCTGTTCCTGAAGTTCTATATTGTGTAGGATATTTATAATGTTTACACACAAAAGTATGAGTAAATTATGTTATATATAAGTTTCCCACTTATGTCTGATTTACTTAGACTTTTTTCACTACTGATCTTGATACAGTGGTATATAGACGAATTTACGAACTGCAGTGATTTTCTGCCTATGCACTGTAGAATGAAAATATTACAGTAGTTTACCTTAGAATTTCAGAAATTGCTGTTAGATAATGTACCTCCCGCTCCTCTTCCAGGAATTTTCAGGTTAACAGGTTTGCCTAGTCTAACTATATATTATTAATCTACTGGATTTGCTACTATTTCTCTGAAGCTACTCCCAAATCTTACTATTGAGTGCTCCTTGGTTTTAAATTTTCTTATTTTCTTCCAAGATAAATTTGACACTATTCATATTTCTTTCTACTATATACATCTTCCCTTGTCTACTCTTTGAATTCCACAAATGTAGGTACATTTCTATGATTATTATTGGTACTAGCATAGCATCCAAGGACTCCCACCATGAAAGACGATGTTACCTTTCTGGAAGCTCTGCAAGCATTACAAAAAGACTATGATTCTTGTCTTTAAGACACTGTGTAAAAATTCTTAACAATGTAGGATTATACTTCTCTTTGAGGCATCCTCTATTATTCTATATCCCTCAGCTCATTTTTGAAAAAAGGTAGAATGAGTGATCTTACCATTTTTTTAGCATCCATCATATCTCAAAGATAATTTATTATTATTATTATTACTATTTTATAGGCAAGCACTACATTTTATTATGGAATTATTCAGTGTATTATATAAAACCACTGTAAGCAGTCTGGTGAATTTCAGTGGTGTAATTTCTCAAGGCAAACTCCAAAATCATTATAACAAACAAAAGCTCTAATAGATTTATTTAATGGTAGAACACAGACAACAAGGCACTACTGCTAGCATGCTGTTCTATCTACTTAGTAACCAAATTTCAGTACCGTCTTGAATTACTCATATTTTCAGTAAACTCTTTAAAGACAGGATAAGCATTCACCGTCAAAATCTGTATCAGATATCATGGGGACAAATAGAACCATAGTATGTAGAAGTATCCCACTTATGTGAGTTTTTAGGGGAGACAAAAAAATCAGCTTGCTAGTGCTGAAATGAGCCAGACCTCCGGAAGGACCTGGTGTTGCCAGCCTCTGCTTACAATTACAGTCAGATAGGAGTGTAATGATATATACCTTGATGATCCATGAGCATGCATAGTAGTGGAATATAGAGTCCTGTTAATGTGCTGACCCACATCAGATGGTGTATACAGGCAGGTATATGTGTCTCATCAGTGCATTGGTACTACTTATGAAGTCCATCTGTCCAGAATTATTTCAGGGAAATTTCCATATTTTACAACCCTTTCAATCAGCAGAACAGTCACTGCTTTGCAAATATCCATGACCACAAGGCCAATGCCAAACTGGTTGCCAACACATCTTTATTATGCTGGCCAGTTTCCACCAAGCAAAAGCAACAGGTTCTAATACATTATTGTCTGTCTCATCTGGATGTTCTACCATCTAAGTAATAAATCAACGTCTCTGTAGAGCTGCAAAAAAGGGGCTTCCTCCTGGCAATGTTTCCGAGTCTGCAGTTAGTTATCCCGTATCGTCATTGCAGTACTTTCGTAACATTTCCATTTTGTGGACCACTGCAGTCTATGAAAATGGATAATTGGCCTAATCCATTCCATGTCTCCACATGGTGCCATTCTGTTGATGCTATTTTGGTGGGCTTATGTCGACAGCTGCAAAATTCTGTCTCTCTCATCTTTCAGCCAATACACTAATTTTGCAATAGTCGCCTTCAACTTATGATAGTACCTCTTTTCAGAATTAATTTTTATGAATTTTCAGTATCCCGTTCTTTAGTAACTCCACTAACAGCCTTTGCTATCCATTTCAAACCCTGAATAAAAGACAGAAAATGAAACAGAGAAGACCGGTGCATCAGTTGCTAATTATGCTGGCAATCTTGGTCATGAAAGGTTGTCAAAGAAGGCTACTGAACTGAGAAACTTGCACTAAAATACACAGTGCTTAACATTTATTTGCGATGAAGATGGTCTGCTCCTTAGCAACTGTTCCTTGCTTCAGAGTTGAAAACCACAGTTAGAAAATTGGCACCTAATATAGTGTAATGTGTTAGGAAAGGAAGAGTCCTTGAAAATCTCAAAGGAAACTAACCATTAACGCCTGGAATGTGAAATCCCTCTAAGAGACTTATAACATGGATGTTGATGAATTTGTGTCTGCACTGCTTTTATTAGTAGTGACTAGCTACGAATGCCAGTGATTAGAGCTGGCTGGGCTCACTCTGAATGGGCAAGAGTTGAGACAGAGTTAATTCAACTCACATCTTAATTTGACTGTCTGGAAAACAAGATTGATTTGCATCAGGTTCAAACCACAGAGGACACTACTAATGGAAGTGGGTAAAGAAAGGATTTTGAACTCAAGTATTGCCAGGTGTCTGAAAATAGCTGAAAATATAAGGAAGCAGAATTTATAAAGCTAAAATACTATTATAAGCCTTGTCAAAAATCAAATTAACAAGGAAGAGATGCAGCAGCTGGTGGCCAATAACATAAACTAAAAATCATGGCACTAAGCAATATTAAAAATAGAAAAATATAAACTTGTATTAATCTATATGTTCTTACTGCTTGTATATACAAAGATCAGAACATTCTTACTAGATCATCACAAACCAGTTAAACTCCTGGTGATAAAGACTCATACCCCTTTGATATGACAAGTACAATGAGATGACAAGTAACTCTATGACTTTAGGAAAAACTTTTCTATGATGAGTGACTGGAATAGCAAGACTAATGAAACTGACCCGGTCTTGTTTTAAATGGTAAAAACAACCCCAAACAGCCATCCTTCATGGGATTCCATGGTTTCTGCCTGAGTACTGTACACCACATATGCAAAAATCCAAGTTCATAATGACTCTGGGACGTTCAAAAATGTCATTAATTAGGACATAATAGTATTTCTCCTGAGAGATATAGAGTGCGCTCACATAATCATGAAGAATACATTTTTTTCTCCCTGGAATAGATATATTTGCTACGGTCTAACTCTGCCCTCTGCAATATTCTTACTGCAAAAGCCAGGCAAGCATGTTTATGTTTGCATTCCAAACAAGCTACTACCAGTCTACTATTCCCCTTTCATTTGCTGCAACAGGCTTCTGGTTTAGCTTGAAAACAAACAGGATTAATAACAGGAGCATAGATTTGCAAAGACTCACCATGCTACAGTTACTATTTGCTGAAATGCACTTCTTGTCGTCGCACCACTGGCACCCGTTGGTGTTGGCAGTGCAGCTCGCGCAGTCTGCGTACCGGTAACATCTGTCATCTGCAGCAGCTGTAATGCACATGAAAGTCAAAAAGAAGCATCACACAGAGGAAGAATGACACCACATTTTAAACACTTGCTTAGACTATTTTCTGTTACATCCTTTGTTTGAACTCTAGCCATTCACAGAGGTTTAAGTTTCTGTGAGAAATTAATTCTATTCAGTTAATAAGATTTCCTCCTTTAAAAATACCTTCAGTAACAACTATATTAGAAAGCTCCTAAGTCTTGTATCAACTAAAGGAATATACACCGATTTGCAGCATACAAGTTCTCTTAGCACAGTACATAAATTAAGTTTCTTAAACTATTCATTCTTCACTCCTTTAACACATACGAAAGATCTTCTTCAGGTGCGGATTTCTAAAAAATGTATTAGATTGCTAAACAAGAAGGCAATGGTAAAAGTAGTATATAAAAATAAAAATTTAATATTAATATTAGCAACAAACATGCATTTTAAGTCTTTATAAATTAATTTATGAACCTAATAATGATTGTTAAGTTATAGTCCTGCCCTTTCTCTACAAAAAATATCTGGGAAAGAATTCATGTTAAAATTCTTAATACAAACCTTCAGGACTTGGTTTTTATTTATAAATTTATGTTATTTAAAACAGTTTGTGACATAAATGATTACTTCTTTTTAAAGGAAAAAAAAATTGAAAAATCACCATAATCCAAAATAGGAGAATTCCTACTGTCTCCTACACTGTGTTTAACTCCTCTGTGGTTTGGCTTCTCTAGTCTTGGCATCACAAATTTTAAGAGATTCTCTTGCCATGGAAGCCTTGCTATGCAAAAACTGATCTTCTGAAAACCCACTAAAATTTATGCTTATCCTTTAATAGACTGTCAGCAATTTCTCAGATAATACTCTCAACCAGATAACGACTGAGCCAAATGGCATAAAAGAATACATGAAAAATTGTCTTTTGGCAGAATAATACCACTTGAAACCGGAAGGATTTGACAGCGGTGAAGAGGTGCTGTCCACAAAACTGCTTCAGAACTGGAATCCTACACACCTCATCTCTTGCAAGTGTAGTTGTAGTTTATTCCCACTGTGGCAACTGTAATTTCAAAACTGCTCTATTTTTTTTAATTGTCCTTAAGCCTGTCTGTGTTTTGTTTTGTTTGGTGTTTTAAAACACCTGTTGATACAATCAGTTTTTTATAAGATCCACTTTCATCTGTATTACTTTTAAATTTAGTCTCAAGACTTTTCTTTTTACAAAGAGCTGAAACTTTCCAGATGCTAGATCTGTAAATGTTATGAAACCATACAAAAACAGTTCAGAAAGTTTTACCCAGATAACGTTTATATTATATAATGCACCTTTTTTTCAGGTTCACAACTTCATATCCAGTTCAGAAACAAGTAAAAGCTAACAGAAAAAGCTGTCTTGAAGTACTGATTAATAGCAAAGCTAATAATTTTTCAACAAACATTAAAAGCAGACTGGCAGCTTAATTATACGTAGCACACAGCCAAAGTTTAGTTAGCAATTTTATACTGTGCTACAAGGGAAGATGTACAGAAAAAATAGCAGGTGTATGTAGCAGGGATGCATATTTTGTTCATGCAAAGTATAACAACAAAAGTTCAACAAGCATTTTATTCGTGACAAGCCAAAAAGTTCAGAATAGGGTGCAACAGTTATTCATGATGCTAAATTGCTGTTTCAAACAATATAGCTATCACAATGCCACACAGAAACTCCCATTATAAATCACAGAATTACAGAATATTAGGAGTTG